TATATATATATATATATAAAGTGTTATATAATATTGACAATAATGACTAAATGTACCAATCCCAGAGAACGAGGTATTAAAGATTTATAAAAAATAAGAGGCAGAAAAATATTCTGATTTAAAAAATTGACTACCAATATTATTACATTCTATACAAAGTTCAATAACTTGTAATTTTTGTTTTCACTGTATTTAATTTTACAGTCGTATTTGTTCTTAAACATTTACCTTGTTTTTATGACCAGAGAACAGGAGAAAACGTATTACAGGAAATTTACATGGGAATATTCTACAACTCCCGATCGAGTTTAAAAATGTTACGACTCGTCGCTAGAACGCATTCGTTACCAATTAAAGTGCATAAAATATTAAAACCTCAGTATGATATTATCGTTACGGTGCATTAACGTGTATTTATGTTGTAGACGTTAACGACATCTGAATATAAGAGCAACAATCACTCAAATGTAAAAGGCTGAAAGGCAATATCACTTAATTTTTCTGTCATATCACTTTTATAGTGATAACGATATCGTTCTAATCTTGTCTATTTCTTCATTTATTGCATTATCAAGTAGTAACTTGAACAGATGAGTTAAAATGGTCCACAATTAAGCCTTCCGGAGTCAAACTCGAGAGAGTCTGCCTCGATGAGATCTTTAATTATCTGTCGTAAGGAAATATTTGCGTAGCAATAATCGTGACTAAATATTCATTAACTTTCGATACCGGGACTTACTTTTGTCTTTTCGTCGGCAGGCTCGCCATGAGGAAATAGAGAAAGCACCCTGTTCTCCATCGAATGATTTATAATTCATGACTCGTTACATCTATCTACTCCAGGTGATTTGAGGCAACATCGGGCCCTTATGCATATTGATACTTTCGTGAAAGCGTTAACTCTTTCTCCCCTGAACACTTAGACGTCGTGTTGTCGTACGAGATGTTTGCGCATAATTCCACTCATCGTGTTTAGATATCCGGGTATTCATTCGCATGCCCCCGGGAAATGTTTGCGCAATCCTTCCCGATGATATCTTCTCCTCCCCTCTGAGATGACAAGTTAACCGATAAATACTTCGCTTCGTATTATCTTACCACGACGCTTTCTTCCTCTTTCCTCGTTCAATGGCGTTTCAGTAGCAGAGCAGGGATTGACATCGCTTGCTTGACGGCAAAATGCGAAACTCTTCGATGTTATCTCCTTCTGAATAAGTACTGTTAACTTTCAAATTGATAAATAGATTGGTATTCTTGGTATTCTTTGAAACCACGTTCTGAAAAAGAAAAATAAAAAATATTACACTCACGGAAGTTTAAAAATTTATTATTTTTACACACATTTCTTTATCACATCTAATACTGACTAATTTAATATTGAAAATATCACTTATTTTAATAAATTACTTATTTTATTGAAAACATTATTTAGTGCTTTTAGTATCCAAATAAATAATTAATTATCTAGTGTTTTTCAGTACCTAATAAACTAATCGATTAGTATTAAATGTCTGTAAGGGAAATAAAAATACAACTAAAAAATGTAAGTTGAAATATAACATAATATACTAGTAAAAAATATAAATATAAAATCAAAACATTTTTTTGGGATGTTTTAAATCTACTAATTTGTGTCTTTAAACCACCTACCTATTTAAAGATTAATCTATAATCGTCCGAGCGCCATAATTTCTTCGATACTTCTTCTCGAGTAATGGGATATACGGAACGAACAACTGCAACACAATTGCACAATACCCGATTTAGTTTATTCAGTACTTCCAAGATATGTCTACGTCTCGTACGTCGCGTTTCCGCTGTCGGCTATACAACGCGTTAACCTTTTCCGGTGCGCGAGATTCACCTGACGTTCGCATACTTAAATGACCATTGCCTGTCGCCTAATGTGTACGATTAGACGCGCCCGGTGTTTGTTTATACACGCGAGAATGAACGAGCTTACCGTATTATCTCGAAATGTAACGCGACGTGACACGGTAAAGATCTACCAGCATAGTACTCGTCATCTATTGATGAGCGATACGAACTTAGCGACAAGCGAATGATCGCCGAGTGACTTCACGCTGTTTCTCCTTCGAGAACACTTTCAACATGATTCGCGCAGTACTCGACGAACTATTGACAATTCGATATGCAATTTGACGATACAATTTGCACAGATTCATTTTCGAGAGAGAAATGTCGTTTGTAAAACACGAAAGAGAAACGTGAAATTCGAATACGTATAATTTTGATTGCGCAATACGCACAACATAGCACAGAAAAAACGATTTTATTGAAGTCTATCTAAAAATTTAGCTAAATACAAATCTGAAAATAATTTTATTACTAAGGTAACAAACATTTTTTGCAGCGTTGTACTTCATGCTTGAGTTTCCTGCATAATTACTTTGATAATCCAACAAAAAGTATTTTCAAATCTAGGGATCGATTACGTCTTCAAACGAAATGTAAATTTTAAAAGTGAGTAAATTTACAGTAAGCCCGTTCTTTTTAGCTAAACTTCTTGCACGATTCATCTTTTCTTTCTTTCTTTCCAACGTGAAAGAACTTTAGCTAAAAAGAACAGACTTAGCTGTTAACCAATGAATTTACAAATATTCTGATAAATTTGCTTTTTTTTGCAATTTTAATCTTGTTCTGGATTGTACAATCAACTCTATGCTAAATTTTTAAATAATACATCAGCAGAATCGTTCTTTCCGTAACATGAGACTAAACACAAACGTGAATAACGTAGGAGAACGGCAACTTCAATTAGATTTCTAATCAACACTGCACGAAATGAAACCAGATGAGATTTAGAGAGATTTAATTAATAATAATGCTTTTTGATACGAGATAACATGCGACGATCTCGTGTTATTCATTTAACTGATTTTAACACATGGGAGCACTTTTAATTACGTACACGATTTCCATGAAGAGTGAAATGCAGCTAGCGTTTTCGAACCGATTCTCGATTACGGCACATAAAATAACAGCTATTGTTCAACAACGAAAAGTTACATCGATCACGTGACTGACCGTGCGACATTTTCAAATGTTACGTTTCAGTGTCATTCAATTCAAATTTTGATCGTGGAAATCTCGTATTCTGTGATGCTATGAATACACAAATTGACATAAGACACGCAATTTTTTCGTATCTGTAAATGACAATTTTTTGAAATTAGGCATTTTTCGTGCGTCTAATAACACGATTCTCACTAATGTATCTAAATTGACTTAATTTGATCTTGATGTACTCTTCATTTTTTTCTACTTTAAAGAATTAAAAACAGATAGATTTAAAAAAAATGTAGAACATTATGTTACAATTGTTCATTAAGCGGCTAAATAACAATCATTTGAAAAACAGTTTTTTATTATAATATGTAAATTAAGTATTACATTTTTTACTTAACAAAATTAAAAGATCATCTGTTCCACTCTACAAAAATAAGCAAATTTCAAGAATAACTTCAAAAAAATTATCGTATCGAGATGTTTGAAAACTTATTTTACAGCTTGAAATTTCTACTTTTCAGATCGGTACATAAAAAGTCGGTCTTCTTGATATTTTGCAAAGTTACACAAATATAAATGAAGACGCATCAGATCTCAAAATTTTTTATGAAATTTGCAAAGTTCCAGAGGGCAAATTAAAAATTGTACACAAATGTGGTTAACATCAGTGAAAAAAAATCATACAAAACTTCATACAAAATAAAATTAAAGCTAAAGATTTACTCTTTCGAAAGCCATAAACCGCATTTGTACACAATTTTTAATTCGCGCTATAAAATTTCGCAAATTTTGTCAAAAATTTTGGGATTTGAAGTATCTTTATTTATATTTGTGTAACTTCATAAAATATCAGTAAGAACATTTTCTATTGATCTGAACAGTAAAGATTTCAAGCTGTAAATGCTTTTTTAAACATCTCGATATGATAATTTTTTACGAAGTTATTTTATCTTGAAATTTACATACTGCTTCTCAACAAAATTAAAGTTATTTAAAATCAGCGTTAGTTAGAACGGACTAAATTCAAATTTTACATACCTCGGCGAAGAATGGTCGCAAAGCAATGTTCGAAAGAGCATTTTAAAGCCATAACAAATTTCCTTAAGTGTAAATTAAATTTGACATTTTCTCTTTAAATGATTTTGAATCATTACGCTACAATTTTTATTACTGTAATTTGATGTCAATTTTCTATTCATTTCTGTAAAAAATTTCAAAAATTTTGTCATTTTAGAAATTAAAAAAAAAAGACTAGAAAATTTACTTTAAATTAATCAGTAAAAATAATTGTAGCGTAATGATTAAAAATTATTTTAAAGAGAAAATGCCAAGCTTAACTTGCAATTAAAGAAATTTATTATGGCTTTAAAATGCTTTTTTGAACATCGTTTCGCGACCATTCTTCGCCGAGATATGTGAAATTTGAATTTGATCCTTTCTAACTAACGCTGATTTTAAATAATATTAATTTTGTTGAGAAGCAGCAGGTAAATTTCAAGATAAAATAACTTCGTAAAAAAATCATCACATCGAGAGGTTTAAAAAGCATTTACAACTTGGTATCTTTACTGTTTAGATTGATAGGAAATGTCTTATTAATATTTTATGGAGTTACACAAATATAAATAGAGATGCTTCAAATCCCAAAATTTTTTATGAAATTTGCGAAATTTTACAGCGCGAATTAAAAATTGCGCACAAATGCGGTTTACGGCTCTCGAAAGAGTGAATCTTTAGCTTTAATTTTCTTTTTGAAACTTTGTACGATTTTTTTCATCGAGTTATTCAACATCAAAAACGGTTTTTGCTTCAACATTGAATAACTCGCAAAAAAAAAATACAAAGCGTGATAATCGTACAAAAGCAAATTAACTCTTTCGAATGATATAAATCGTATGTGTACAATTTTTAATTTATTCCGTGGAATTTCACAAATTTCGTAAAATTTTGAGAGAGAGAGAGAGAGAGAGAGAGAGAGAGAGAGAGAGAGAGAGAGAGAGAGAGATCTGATGCATCTTGATTGAGCTTATGTTTGTGTAACTTCACAAAATATCAGTAAGATCGATTTTTTAAGTACCATCTGAAAAGTAGAAATTTCAAGCTGTAAAATGCTTTTTTATATAAATGCATCTTGATACGATGATTTTTAAGAAGTTATTCTATCTTGAAGTTTGCCTATTTTTGTAGAGTGGAACAACATACGATCCTTCAGTTTTGATCCTTCAATTTTGAGTAGTGTAATTTTGAATGACCCTTGCTCGCGATTAACTTGAAATTTTAGATATAAATTCTACTCAATGTGAGAAATAAAAAACATATATTCTCAACTTCGAGAAATAAAAAAAAAATTTTTTAATTTTATAACTTTTCATTCAGATAGATCTTGCTTTGCGCGCGTGAAAAGTCGTGCCCCCTTGGCAGAGAGAAGGTAGAGTGGGATTCGCTTCGCGTAGAAGTTATGCGCCCCCAAGCAGAGGGGGACGGGGGAGGAGGGTGGGATGAGAGTCGCTTCGCGTGGAAAGTCATATTTCCTTAATCAGACCGGATTCCCTTAATTAGTCGATAAATATTGGGTATGATTTATTTTATGCTGCAAATACTTTGAAGCACTCTTTGATTGATTAATTCGTAAAATTCTTTCTTTTGATTGGTCAACAAATTATAATGTTTGCAGCGTTAAGTGAATCATACCCATTGTCGCGTATAAAAAAAATTTTTTTTGTTTCCTGAAATTGAGAATATATAGGTTTTTATTTCTTACATTAAGAACAACTTATATGTAAAATTTTAGATCAATCGCAAGAGAGGTTCATTCAGAACTGCACCCATAAATTATTTCAAATATGTAAAAGGTGAAATAAAAATATATTTAGCATAGAGACAAATATCCATTTATTCATTTTCTTTACAGTTGAAAAAAGTAAACTCTAACACGCGAGAGTCTCGCGAGACCCTGCGTCCGCCGGCGGAAGGTTAAAGAAAATATTCGAAGTATTCGCCTCAACACATATTACTGTATAGCTTAGCACGTTACTTCATATTTATAAACAATAGCCATCAATATAAATTCGACGGAATTTCAGGCAATATCTTATGCTCGCAAGTTACTATTCTAAATACTGTTCTAAAAGCGGCAAAATAGTGCCCCTCCCCCCCCCCTCCTGGCTATCAAGCAAAACTTATGATTTATGCACGATAGTGCTCCGCCTCATTTTTATCTCGAAGCGAGAATATTCTTAAACAACGTCTTCGTAAACCAATGGATAGAGTGAGGCGGACCCAATCTACAGTCGCCACGATTTCCCGATCTCAATCCATTAGATTTTTATTGCAGCCATTTAAAATCTATTGTGTAATCAACGTCAATATACAATATGGATGATCTGCGAGAAAAGATACGAAATGGATTTGAGACTATTCGAAGAATACTTAGTAGTTTGGAACAAGTGCGAAACTTAATGTTAAAACGTGCAGTAACGTATGTTGATGGATACATGTTCATATGACATTTTTTATTTATTTTAGTGTATAGATTTATCTCTTCAAATATTAACATATACATTTATAAAACACTCTGTACATTACTGGTTACGTATTGTATTCTACATTTTCGTGTACGATCAAGAATGGATGCTTTCCATGTAGTGATACAAATCGGTACAAGCATTATTCTATTTTTTTTTTTTTTACATTCAGTGAAATGACAAAGATGGAACGACACTTGTGTCGACTACTTGTGTCATTAATCGGAAAGCACCTATTATATGTGTAAGGCCCAGAAGACAAAATTGTTTAGTGGATACAATTCTTTATTATCTAAGATTTGTTTGATAGATTTAGCAAAGAACTAGAGGCACTAATCATATTAAAGAATCACTAAGCGTTCACTGAGCGGCTTTTTTGGTTCTGAACGCAACCAATGAATGCATCCAATAACATGGGCGTGCAATAACAGTTTATTCGAGACTTCACAATCTCGATAACATATA